GCCCTCGATCCGTTAAGCTCGCGCACTGTTTAAATCGACTGCGCGCGGCGCTTGGGCGGGAACTACATTTTGGAAGCGACCTGCCTTCCACCTGTGAAAATGCTACAATTTGTTTAACGAGTGTGCGCAGCGCTAAAGCGGAAACGCATTCTTGAAACCACCCGCCTTCCATTTGTAAGACATGTTGCACGTTTTCCAGTTTCAGGCCCATGAGTGGCAAGGAGATCTTGAGCGAAACGCCCGGCCCGCCTTTCCGTCGGGCCTCGGGGCGCGACAGGGAGGAGTTATTCGTGAGGAAGAAGAATGGAGGGGGATGGGCAGCAGCAGGCAGGAAGAGAGCAAGCAGATGGAGCAGAGGAGCCGAGGAAACCGAGCAGAGGAAGAGGGGTGGCACGGGTGAACTCCGAGTATTTCTGAGGCTCCCTGGGCACTCTGGAGGGAGTGGAGGGGTGGGTGGTGGGGGGGCGGGAGGGGGGAGTGGAAGGGCCAGTGCAAGGGGGGGGTGGGGGGGGGGAAGGGGGGGGAAGGGGGAGGAGGGGCCGTGGCGGAGGGGGGAGGAGGGGGGGGGGAAACTAGGTGCTTTCGCGTCAGATCTGACGTCCTACCCCTCCCTCCCATCCCTTACCATGGCGTGCGTAGATCTCTTCTCTATTCGCACAATCGGATGTCGTAGCATGGCATAGCATTACATGACATAGCATGGCGTCGAAGAGCAACGCATAGCATGACATAGCATGGCGCAGCGACTCCCCAAGGTGGGGGGGGCTTTTGCGACCCAGTATCAACGAATCGACACCGAATGTGTAATCACTTCAAATAGTTTATTCGGGGGTCCATTTTTTAGATTTTGGGGCCTATTTGGAAGGATCGAAAACATGCCGTGGCAGGGCGCTGAAAATAATGACGCCAGCGCTGCAGTGGGAGCACGATTCGGAACGAGCGGGAGCGCGGAAATGAGGCCAGCGCTGCAGCGGGAGCACGATTGGGAAGGAACGGTAGACCGAAAATGGAGGCCAGCGCTTCAGCAAGAGCAGCATACAAAACTCAGCGCGGAAGCGCGGAAATGAGGACGTGTAGCCTGAGCTTGGCGTGGCGACGCCCCGAAGTGGGGGGGGACTTCCGCGGCCCATGAATTAACGAATCGGCACCGAATGTGTAACACTTCCGATAGTTTTTGTCGGAAGGTCATTTTCTAGATTTTGGGGCCTATCTGAAAGGACCGAGAGCCATGCCAACCATGCCGGAGCATGGCGCTGGAAATAATGACGCCAGCGCTGCAGCGGGAGCACGATTCGAAACGAACGGTAGCCCGAACATGAGGCCAGCGCTTCAGCGAGAGCAGCATTTCGAACAACAGACCAAGCGGACACCCATCTCCCGGGAATATTGTGCGTGAAAATTTGCACGCGGAGGGGAACCAGACATTCCCCGGACGCCACCAGGGGAGAGAGGGGAGTACTATTCATATTGTGTAATTGTGGACCAAAAAGCTGCAGGAGGGCTGGTGGGATTTACATTGGGCTGTAGCCTCGGGACCGCGAGCGTGTTTTAGCTTGCGACGGCGTGTGGCCTGGGAGAGTGCGGTCACTTCGTGACTTGAAAAGTGGCCTCGGGAGCGCGAGCGCGGTTTAACCTACGAGGGGTCGTGTCCCCGGGTGCTCGAAAGTATTGTGTTTTACGTGTCCCATGGTTCCCTCCAGAAATTCCTATGTTCTAAGAAAGTGCGAAATTGTTGTTTGACCAGCGGTCCTCGCATGTTCTTCAACAAGTTCGTAAATTGAAGTCAGAAACTGTTTTACTACAAGATTGGGAACCTTCGCGCTGGAACTTGTGCAGGTTGCAAGAACACGTACTTCTCGCAGCCTGTAGGCCCCCAAGAGGCCCAGCGGACTGGGTAACCACTCCAGGCATCGCACCTGGCATTTCCGTTGGGCTAATCTGGCCAGGTAATTTTGTTATATCTGGCTCTTCCGGATGAATTCCGCCTAGTTGCCACATGGGTGTTCTCTCAACCGTGCGCGCAAATATTTCAGACCATCTCGAATTCAATGTCTGCCTTGTTGTGCCACATGTCCTGAGGCTTGCTCGTTCTGCGTCCTTGACGAAAGTCTTGCGTCCTCTCGAATGCCCTCCTAGTTTTCGTCATGGTTGTAGTCAATGTTACGTTGCTTCTTCGGGGGACGTCTCCTGTCCTAAAGTTGGTCTCTTTTCTTGTGCCCGACGCGGGCTCGATGCAGACTCGACGCGGGTTTGGCGTGGATCCGACGCGGATTCGACGCGGATTTGACACGGATCCGACGACGCTGACATGGCTTCGACACGGATTCGACGCGGATAGGGCCGCGACGGGACAGACAAGGTTCGGGCCGGACGAAAGGGGGGGATTGGGAAAGGGGGGGTTACGAAATTTGCTGCATGCAGCTGGTTTCGGCCTCGCCGAGGGGCCCATTCCTCGATACATGGCCGCCTCCCGGCGCCTGGAGGCGCCGGGAAAATCAGCTACGTGAGCTGATCTTAAAACCCCCCGCCCCTTTTGCTATCCCCCCCTTTCGCCCGACCCGAAAGGTCCCCCGAGGATGCAACAGGAGTTTCTAGTTTCGGTCGTGGTTGTAGTCCGTGCGTGCGGACGCTTGGATCACGATCGCCGCTGCTGCTGCAGCGGCGGCCCAAGAGCAACAGCGGGAACGATGCATCTTCGGGCTGCCGAGGGACAGGGATGCTGATTATCAGGAGGGAAAGAAACACACAGACACAATCAATCGGCGGTTCCCCAGAAAATATGGGAAAATATGGGAAGTGGGGGGAAGACAAAAGCCCAGAAAAAATAGGAAAATATGGGAACTATTTTGATATGTGTGTATTTATTTGTGTGTCCCAGGGCCCCTTCAGATTAACATGACGAACATACACGACAAGTTGGAGGATCCTGGTGTGGATGTGACCGGAGTCAGAACGGATTTCGACGAACCGTGCGCGACGAAGACGGGTGATCTCATCCTCATGCTTTCGTTTCCTCACTCGTTGCCCTCCTCTTTTCTTGTATTCCCCCACCTCTGGACTCCTCCCCTCCCTTTTTTTCCATTATCATCATCTTCCTTTACCATTCGGCCCCTCTTGTCTCCTTCCACCCTCCATTTCATACCCACGGTAGTTGGATTATAGAAGAGGCTGTCTTAATTATCGGAGGGTAATAGTGATGATAATGATGCTAATGCCAAACCGAGGATGAGGAAATGAGGAGGAGGAGGAGGAGTCTGCTCGCGTTTAAGACGCTGGCTGAGCGAGAAACGGCAGAAACGGCAGTCTGCTCGCGAAGTGTTTGGGAAGTTTTGGGAGGTGCAAGGTAGGTTTAGGGCCTTTGGGGGAGGGTGGGCAGGGCAGGGGAGTCGGAGGAGGGCAAGTGACCAGGAGGTTGTGACAAGCGTGCTATGGAGATCGATTCCAACAACCAGCGCCTGCCTCCTCATACTCCTGTCTCCTCCTCCTTCTCCCCCTCCGCGATTCTCGGTGACAGAGACAGAAGGAGAGAACGAGAGAGAGAGAGAGAGAACACAAAAAATAAGATTATGGGAGAGAACAATATAATGATAGAGAGAGAGAGAGGGAGTGAGAGAGAGAGACAGGCAGTCAGACAGACTGGCAGACAGACAGACAGACAGAGACGGACAGACAGATACGTATATAGATAGACAGACAGACAGACACAGACAGAGTCAGGCAGACACAGACACATACAGACAGGAACAAGCAGATGGACAGAGGGAGAGGAGGGGAGAAAGCGAGAGAGTGAGTGAGTGAGTGATTGGGAGAGAGAGGGAGAGAGAAGCAGAGAGAGAGAGAGAGGAACAAAACAAGAGTCAGACAGACAGACAGACAGACAGACAGACAGACAGACAGACAGACAGACAGACAGACAGACAGACATAGACAGACAGACAGAAAGAGATAGAGACAGAGAAAGAGAGAGGGAGAGCAGGAATGAGTTTTGCGCGGGAGGAGGGGAGGAGCATGAGGAGGAGAAGGAGGAGGAGGAGGAGGAAGGACGTTGGAAAGATGGGGAAGGGGAGGATCAGGAGGAGGTGCGGGAAGTGTGGGAGGGAGCCTTTGGGGGGAGGTGCGCGAGGTGGTCACGCAGGGGAGAAGGATGAGGGGGAGGAGGAGGAGGAGGCCTCCATCTTCCCCAGTCTGATGCTTCTGCCACACACACACCCCTGGTTTGGATCAGGTCTCAAGTGTCGAAGCGCGGCCGCACGTTTCCCCCCCACCCCCCCTGGCTGCTCCTGGCACTAGAACGTCCACGGCTCGACATTGAACGAGTTTCGCTGAGCGAGCATCCCCTGACCCCATGTCCCCACGCCCACCCCCAGGTCCGCCCATCCCCAACAACACTCCTCCTCCTCCGCCCCCCCTCCCCCCCTGGGTGGGGGAGGACGATGACGACCTCCACAAGTCCAGCCAACATTCCCAGGGGCCACCGAGAACATCCGCACGGCCTCCCCGAAGCGCCCTGGACGACGACGGCCGTGGCGGCGGCGACGGCGGCGGCGCCGCCGCCGCCAGACGGCGGCGACCCCGGCCCCCCCCGAGGTGTCCTGAGGTCCCCGGAGGTCGCATGAGGATTCCAGGGGTTAGCTAAGAACGAACATTCAGGAGCGAAAGAAGGACGTACATGTACATGAATCCACGCTGGTTTCGAGAGTTCGCATTGCGCGAATGTTCGTATCACGCGGCCGGTCTCGCGTTTCAAGGGACCGTGTTCATGTACATAGCTGGGCGCGTACGTCCTTTGTGGGCTCCCTAAACATGCAAGCGAGACAACAGGACAGCTCGGCGAACGGGCCCCGATCCTCGAGCGGAGGCGGCGGCGACGGCGGCGGCAACAGCGGCGACGACGGCACGGCGGCAGCGGCGGCGGCGACGGCACGGGCGATCCCGACGGCGGAGGCGGCGGTCATTGGGCGGCGGCGGCGGCGACGGCCTGGGAGGGCCGCTGTGGCCAGGCGCCTCCTGTGGCCAGCACTGCGATGTGCGGGTCGTCTCGGCGGGCAGGCCCGTGTCGCAGTTCACCCCCCAGCCGACGCGGGGCGCCGTCGCCGCCGCCGCCGCCGCCGCCGCCCTTTGGCGACCGCCGTCGCCGCCGTCGTCGTCGTCGTCGTCGTGGTCGTCGTGGTCGTCGTCGTCGTCGCTGTCGCTGCCGGGGGGGAGGGGCACTCCAACTCGGGAGTTCAGGGGGCCAAGGACAGGCCGCCCGAAGCACGCACGCAAAGACGTGCCGCCAGAGTTCGGGGCCCGAGGCGGCGGGGTCTGGCACGCAGGCCAAGTCAGGGCGGCCCATGGGGGCTCTTCGGGTGCGGGGCCCAGGGCCGATGGAGGGGAAAAGATCACAGACACAATGAGTTGTCGATCCCTAGAAAAATATTAGAAAAGATGAGAGGTGGGGGGGAAGACGAAACTCCAGAAAGCATGAAAAGTGCGGGAATCTTTGGATTTGTATGCGTTTATTGTGAAGGCCTGACGGCCAGTGCCGCCGACCCTGAAAGACATCGACGACGACCAGGAGGAGGAGGAGGCGGAGGAGAAGGAGGAGGAGGAGGAGGCGGAGATACGGAGGAGGAGAAGGAGGAGGAAAAGGACCCCCCTGCCCCCCCCTGGGGAGGAGGACCGAAGGAGAGGACCTGCGTATGAGAGGGAAGGGGAGGGGGAGGATGACCCCCAGGGACGGATGCGTATCTGACTCCCCTCCCCTCGCCTGGGACTCCTCCCCACCTGGGGAGGAGGACCCGAGGAGGACCGGCGCGGCGGAGAAGGACCGAGGAGGACCCCCAAAGGCGATGCGCCTCTGACCCCCCCCTGTGGACCCACCCCCCGACGGGGAAGGGACAAAGGGAAGGGGCTTCCATTTGACATAATGAGGGCGTAGATGGAATTCCCTCGAGCTGCGAACCCGTTCCCCGAACGAGGAAGGGTGCTCTCTCTCTCTCTCTCTCTCCCCCGACGGGAGAGGAGGAGGGGACGAAAGAAGGCTCCCCGTCGCCGGGACCGGACAGACACCGCACTCGCGCCGACAGGGTCGGCGGATCTGTTTGTCCCCGGATGATGTCTTGGGCTGAGGCCTTGGAGTCCAGTCGGGGGTGGACAGAACCCCCCACAGTGACACGTCGATTAGTGAATTGTCCGTTTTCGGTTCTCGAGAGAGGGCGCCGTGGCCGCTATTTTCCAGGCCTGCGCCCGCCAGGTTGGGGCCTCAGGTCGTTTTCACCAAACCACGTTTTACGAAAGGGGGGTCTGTCCATCCCCGATCCAGGGTCGGCCCCTGCACGCCTGCAGCCCGGGGGCGCCAGAGAGGGCTGCGGGCCGGGCGCCCCGCGCCCGGAGGGGGGCGCGTGGCTTCCCAGGCTCGAGGTGACACCGTCCCCCCGTGTTGGCCGCGGGCTGTCGTTGGGCTTTCAGTGCCGTTTTTGATGCATGCTCCGCGTGCGGATCATGCACAAAGTTATTCTTAAATGAGTCATGTATCACAAGTCATCTATTTCAAAAAAAACATCCAACGTATGAAAAGCTGCCCTGTACCCAGCAGTTGCAAAAGTATGCAACTGTCTTCGGTGGAAGTCGCAGACCCCGGTCTGCTGCAGGCGCCTTCCTTCCTGCTTCGAGGGTCGAGGCGCTTTGCCGTGTTGTGTTATTCCCTGGGCAGGGCCTGCATCCGATCTGCTCTGTCCGCTTTCCCACTTCACGTTTCTGCCTGCTTCTTCGGACCGACGTGTGCTCCCCCCTTCCCCAAAGGAGGGGCGCTCGCTCCACGGCGGTTTTCGCTGCGGGGGGCCCTGCCGCATCTTCGTCGGAGGACTGCGTGTGGACGTCGTGGCCGGGCAGTGGAATCTTCCAGGTATGATGGCCTCTCTCTTCGTCTTTCCGTACGTCCCCAGGCCCCCCTCCGCCCCCTCCGCGCACAGGCCTCTGGCCATGCTGCGCTAAACCCTCTCTTGCCGACCCAGGTGTTGTCAGCTGGTCCGAGAAGTAACCTGGCTTGGTAAACACATACAACCACGTGCTTGTAATTATCATTCTTGACCTTCTCTCATTCAAGAGCGCTCCCAGGTTACAGCGCTCCGAGGAACGTTGACTCGGGCTATACGGCACGTCCTGGGGTGAGGTTGGACGTTGGTGATTGCTGAAATGACCAGGTCCTTAGCAGACAAGCGTTTCTCACCGCCCCATCTTGGTCGCATTCGGGGCGGGGACGGGGACGCATATTCGGCGGTCGTTCTTCGGGGCGAGTCTTGTATTGCGAGGACGTGATGTCGGTTGCAGGGAGAGAGAGGGCTTCGGTCGAGATGCGTGCTGATGTTGCACGGCAGGTTCCGCCTGAAGTTGAGCACCAAGTTCGGGAAGATGATCCATCGTTGGCGCGCGCGGGCGAAAGGGATGGAGGTCATATGTTGGGTGCTTGAGCGCCCCTAGCCTATCCGAATTGATTACTTACCTATCCTCGGATGCAACACTTGGGAGGTCAACTTCTGACTTTGCCCTGGTCCGAAATCTTGCTTTATCCAGCTTACTTCCTATTCCAGTTCAATCCCGCTTAGTCCGATCTTATTCCGTTAAACCGCGACTTAATCCGGCGTCACAGCCCCCCAACGGGGCTCAATTCTCTTTAATTCTTCCGACGAAGGCCTCCCAGTAGTTGCCTCCTAGCCTCTCCATCTCCCCCAAACGTCCCCCCATTTCTCATCCCGCATCTCTTCTCAGCCACGCGCAGAGGGTGTTGGGGGAGAGATGAGGGCTGCTTAGGAAGCACCCCTGCTTCTTAGAAGGCGCGGGTCTTATCTATAGATGTAAGGCCGGCGCCTCCTAAGGAGCAGTCTCCTTCCAAAAAACCCTCCCCCCTCCCCCCACCCGCTTGTGCGCACCGCCAAATCTCTTCGTCCGCCCCTCCCTCTGTTTCTTCTTAAAGCGTTCCCGGCCCCCCTCCGCCGTTCCCTATCCACTCTGGACGCCCGACATGGGCATGGAAAGAATGGTTGGTTATACCATGCCCAACAGCAGTTCCTGTACATTTTGAACAGGATTCGCTGTCCACTCCGCCGCGGCCGGTGTTCATTTGAGACAGAAGGCCGTCTGCCCAACAGCGGCTGCTGTTGGTTCGGGACAACATTTGCTGTTGGGCATTGTGCCCATTCTTTCCGTACCCATTTCGGGCGTCCAAATCCACGAGCCACGCGCTTTGTGGCGCACAGGATGCTCCAGAACACTCGCCTTTCCTCTTCTCTCTGTCTCTCTCTCTCGCCCTCGCTCTCCTTCGTTTCCCCCAGCTCTCCTTGCTTATATCTCGTCACTCTGTGTCCCTCAATAGTGCTTGGGTCCCTGGACTACAGGTACCCCCACCCCCCAGGTACCCCTCCCCCGGACTACAGGTACCCCCCCCGACTACAGGTACCCCCCCGGACTACAGGATCTCCCCCGGACTACGGGCACCTCCACAGGACTACATCCACGCGTGCGTTGACGCGTGAGCAGAACACGCGTCCCCCCCAGACTGTAGGTACCCCCCAGACTACACGTACCCTTCCCCCGGACTACAGGTACCCCACCCCAGATTGTTGGTACCCCCCCCGGACTACAGGTATACTTCCCCCGGACTATAGTCTCCCCGAACTACACGTACCCCCAGAACTATTGAGGGGCACAGGGTATATTTGTTTGTTTGTTCACTCTCTCTCCCTCGCCTTTATCAATATGTTGCTTTCTGCTTGTACAATTATATATAATATTATCCAGCGGTCAGGTTTCTAGGCCCTGGGGCGGCCCATTTGTTCAAAACTCTTCCCCTTGGTGCCCATTTGTTCCAGGGGGTCCGGAGGCTCTTTGGGGGCCTTCAGGGGGCCACTTCGGCTTCAAGAGACTTCCAATATGGTTCAGGGGGCGGCACCCCAAGAGTCTTTCAGAGCCCCGCTGAAGCTCCCAACCTAACAATCCTGTGGCCCCCCCGGGGTTTGCGAGGACGTCCCGTTGATACAAACAACATGTGTCCCCCCATCCCTCCGCTTTTTCGCTCCCGATGGGATTTTGAAGCCTCAAGATGGCAGCAATATGCCTTAAGAGAGCCCCAGCAGGACTTTCCGTAGCCATGTCGGCTCAAGTTGTTTGAAGTGCAGGCGCTTCGCGCATACCAGAAAATACATTATTCCTCGCGTGCCCGGAGATGGCGCTCCGCCTCGGGGGGCGCTTGTCTGGCAGGACAAGGGTGTGCTCTGGATGAGCAGGACGAGAGGGCTGCTGCAAAACAGCGCCATGGTGACAGCCGCCGCGAAGCAGACGCACCTCGAGGCGAAGCTGTTCCCCCGTCAGCCACAGCATGATCCCCTGTCCAGCACGACTATTACCACGAATGCCCACAGCATGCTCGATGACGATTCAAAGGAAACGAACCTCTCAGTCTTCAGGCCATGGCCTGTCGTGCAACAAGCAGCGTTCATAATGCAAGTTGCTGCTTGGAGGATAACGTTAGGGACAAGTGCGAAGCATGCGTGCGTGCCAGAGGTGGCGCGCGATTGTGGTGTAACCGCGCGACCAGGCCCCATTCCCAAGCTGCAATCACGACGGTCACTGTGGCACAAACAGCGGGTGTTTCAACCAATTCATTTCCGGGTCAAACTGTGCAGGGCACATTCAACTTCCGTCCCTTTACTTTGCGCGTGCCGCATGAATACAAGTGTCGTTCCGCACGTTAGGCTAACGTGAAAGAAGGAGGAGGACGAGGATGGGGAGGAGGAGGAAGAGGAGGATCCGTGACCATTTTGATTCAAGTCCGTAGCGTTTGCTCGAGGACAGGAGTCTTTTTTGGCAAGGGGTTTCTCGGCCCCATCAAGCGCCACCTATCCGAGACTGCGTTGAGATCAGACCTCGTCTCTTTTGCGCGCCCGCAGCGTGCGTCGCACTGTCTTCTCTTAGCGCACGATGGCGGCGTGGCGGCAGACCTGGTGCTGTCCGTATGTCCGAACAAGCGTTGTAAGTTTAAGTTCAACTATGAGTGGCGCGACAGCTGCTGTCGTTGTGGCACGGCGAATGGTGGCCCCAGTGAGCGCGAGTTTCAACCTCGCGGGGCCTGGGCTCGTGGCGTCCCACCCTCAGTCCCTGATCCCAAACCCAAGGGTTCGCCGCTGCTCGTAGACGCGCAGGTTCAAGCCTATGCAGCCATGGACCACAGCTCGTATGCGGCAGTGTCCGACACCCTCACGCAGTCGTCAAGGGACCGCATCCAGCATCTACGCAGTCTCTGCTCTGGGGGCTGGCAGTTGGTCTGGCGCGCGGCTCAGAAGGAGAGCGATGAGCTCGCGGATAAACCTGGCAACATGCAACAACAAGTACGACACAACCACGGAGTCGGCACGAACGAAATGGGCACGAACAGAAATTGTACAATGCCCAACAGCAGTTCCTGATCATTTTGAAAAGACTCGCTGTGGGTGTCGCCGCGGCCTGCGTCCATTTGAGACAGAATGCCGCCTGCCCAACAGCGGCCACTGTTGGTTTGGGGCAAGATTTGTTGTTGGGCATTGTGCCTATTCTTTCCGTGCCCATTTCGGGCGTCCGCATGGAGATCTTCAGCCGCGCTGCCCGCTGGGCCGCCGAGGTTGGGGCCGAGCTCGAGGGGCTCCAGGAGCAGCAGAAGAAGGTAGCCGCGCGTGGCGCGGCGGCCCTCGCCCAGATGGGCGGCGCCACCGCCGCGGCCGCGCCGGGCGCGCCGTCTGCGGGCGCGGGCCAATGCGCGCTGCTGCTCCAGCTGCGCGAGACCTCGACGACGCTGAGCTCGAGGGCAGGCTCGCTGCGATGGCCGCTGGCCTGGCGCAGGCCCAGCAGGCGCTGCAGGCCATGGCCGCGCAGGCCCACGGGCAAGGTCCCGCCGCGCCTGCGGGCCCCGCCGCGGGGGGAGCCGCGCCTGCGGGCGCTGCCTCCGCGGACCCAGGCCCCCCTTCGGGACGCGACCTGGCGGCAGGGGGCCCGGCCCGGGGCAGCGCGAGCCGTTTCCTGCAACTCTCGTTGCTGATCCTGACGCCGACGAGCGCGCCCGTCGCCGGGCAGCCAAGCGCGAGGCCGAGCTGCTCGTAGCGTGCCCCAGCGCCGTCGGCGGCGATGACAACATGGGCCTCGACGATGGCGCCGTCGAGCAGCGAGCCGCCCTGCTGGTCGGGCACGCGATCGAGAAGCTCCGCGCCATCATCGCGGCGAATGTCACCGGCGCGCCAGGGCTTCAGGTGCTCAGGCAAGCTTGCGAGTGGAATGACTGCGACTTGGCTGCAGTCCAGGAGCGCAAAGTGCCCTGGCGGCAGCGCGACGGGCAGGGGCAGGCTCTGCGCAGAGCATGTTGGAAGGTAGCCTTCAATCCAGCAGTCCGCGCAGGCGCCTCGACTGCAGCGGAAAACAGTCTGGCTGGCCTGTCAGGCGGCACTATGGTTGCCGTTCCAGTCAGGCATGGCCTCAGCGAAGTTGAGAGCATTCAGAGTTGTGCCAGCCCAGCAAGGGCTTCCATATTACATCTCGGCCATGGGCCCAAAGGAGGAATGTTGGTGGGCACCATGTACCTGTGCGACTCCGAGGGCCTCAGCGAGCGCAACTGGCAGATCCTTTGCTCCATGGGTCGGGCGACCAAGCGTGCAGGCACGCCTTTCCTCATCAGCAATGATTGCAGGTCGCGCCCGAGGAGTTCGCAGAGAGCGGCTGGGTTGCAGGCGGCGGCGTCGTCCTGGCGCCGAGGGTTGGCGCGGTCAGGCCGTCCAAGAGGGTCATTAACTATTTCGTTATGTCTCCGTTTCTAGCTGCAGGCGCCAAGGCCGACGCGTTGGATCGCATTGCCATCGGCCCACGCCGAGCCGCGCGCGTCAGGTTGCAGGTTCCGAGGCGGCCTCCAGAAGCGCGAGCAGTCGTTCAGCCTCGGGAATTCCCAGCATCGGCCCCAATCGGTTGTGGCAGGCCCGAATTGGGGGCAGCTCGCCAGTGACATGCAGCAGTCTGACACAACGGCTGATCAGGCATGGTCGGCGCTGGCTGCAGCCGCTGAAGATGAATGGATACATGCTCTCGGTGTTGGTCCAGGCCAGGCCGCTAGACTTCGAGGGCGTGGAGATGCACCTCGCATGAAAATGCTTCGGCTTCGCGCCCCTTGTTCTGTGCTTTTCCGCAGCTCAGTGCTGACGCAGTATGGTGGAAAGGCTTGGTACAGGCCCTTATTGATTTCCAGAACATCAAGGGTGGCTGGGATGCCGTGTCTTGTCGGCGTTGCCTAGCCCGCCATGGCTGCTCTGCGTCAGTACCACGGCAGTGCCAGACAGCAGTTAGTTTTGCCATGCTCGAGCTGCAGAGCCCCCCCCCCCCCCTCCCACCTCCCGAGTTTGAAGCTTTAAAGGCTTTCTCGCAAGGGCAGGCTGGCGCAGCGGTCAAAGCCAGCCAGCGAGCCATGGGGGCGGGGGTAGGAGGCTTGGGTGGGCAAACGCAGCACTGAGCAAGGCGCCTCAGCCCATTTCAGCTTTTCGAAGGCGCCGACGGGATGGACTCCTGACGACGCCAGTGGATCATGCCCCGTTGGCGTCAGCAGGGCAGACTGAGAAGTTGCGCGTGGAGTAGGAAGCGCGGTGGTGTGTCTCTGAGAGCCACCCGCCGCTAGAGCGGCCTGACCTCTCTTGCACTGAGCCCCCCCCCCTCTCTCGCCCCACGGTGCTTGAGTTAGCTCGAGTCCTTCAGAACTACAGGCCCAGTGCAGGCCAGGGGTATGATTGCGTGAACCCATGCAATTCCTTCAACTTGGGCCTGAGGGTCTGGACACGCTTTGCGAGTTGCTGCACCTGGTTGACATGAAGCTTACGTGGCCTACCGCGCGGGTCAACGTGTTCTTCCTAGCCAAACGTTTTGGCGGTTTCAGGTCCTTTGCGCTCGCGCTTGTTCTTGCGGGGGTCTTGCGCCGCCTCAGAAAGTCAGAGATCCATGATTGGCAGAGGAGAGATGTCATAAGTTTCTCTTGGGGGACCCGTGGCAAGGCCGCGGGCGAGTGCGTCTGGGCGCAGGCCGCGTGGGCCGAGCGGGCTCATGTCCAAGGTTTGGCTTCGGGTATTGTTTTTGTTTGGTCTGACGAAGGCCTTTCATTCGCCGCCGCCACCCCGTGGCCGCCGCAGACCCTACAGGGCCCCCGTGCGGCTTATGTTTTTCCTCCTCACTCTGCCGTCAGCCGCGAGTCCTAGATCTGGTCAATTTTGTTTCAGGGCCGATCCGACCCGATCAGAGCAGAGCGTGCTCCCAGGCTGTGTCTTTGCAACCATGGTGCTGCAACTTCTCCTACCGCAGCCAGCCGCTGGACGAGGTGCGCAAAGTTGCTCGCGCAGCCTTACTCTCCACAGTGGTTGATGACATCGGTTTGCAACGATTTGGCGCCGAAGAGCGCGTCTACGCAGATCTCGTCGCAGCTGGAGTTGAGCTCGGCCGCCATTTTTTTGAGGTAGATCTGTTGGTCGCGAAGGATAATACACGCTTCGTGGGCAGCGTTGCCAGTCTCAGAAAGACTCTAGAGGCCAGCCTGACAAGCCTGGGAGGGCAGTGCTCGCGCACCGAAAGGCACTTGGGGGTGGACTACGGGTCGGATCAGAAGTTGGGCAGGAGCACGAAGCGAGAGCGCTTGGCGGCAGCCGTCGTTCGTTCGAGACCTTGTAAAGATCTTGTACCAAGCTAAACGCCGCCGGCTTGTAGCCAGGATGATTAAGGCCACGGTTGAATCCAGCGTTTCGTATGGCACCAGTGCCACGGGCACCAATGGGCAGGGGCTTCAGCGTTTCAGGCATTTGGTTGCTAACCAAGGCCCCACTAGCTCCTCCTCTCATACGCATCGTCTCCTTCTCACTCCAGGGCGTAGGTTGGGTCCTATGTTCAAGGCTTCCACCGAGCCGCTCCGTGCCATGTTGGCTGCGCGGGGGCAGCAGCGGGCGCCCCGTATGTCATCGCTCTGGGTTCTCAGCAGGCCCAAGGGAGAGCCCTGTCCAGCAAAGGTAATCCGTGGCAGTATGTTTCAGGACATTTCTCGGCTTGCGTGGCCACACTTGCTCGGTTAGATATCAAGAGTGGCGGTTTTGAATGTTTGCCTTTCCCCCGGGGCCCCACTATGCAGCCAGCCACGTTTTGTGTCCATGTGCTCAAGAAGCTCATCGACATGGCTTGCGAGGCCTGGCAGTGGAATCAGGTCAGTATAACGCTCATGTGCCCCGAGCTGCAGTCAGGTTTTTTGGCTCGAGCCAATTGTTCGCCTGTTTGGTCGGACCTCGCATCTTTCGCCCGATGGAAAGGCCTATCTTCGATCTACTGTCATCGGCGCGCAATGGGCTCAGCTGCGCTTGTTCGAGGCTAATTCTGCGCAGTCGCCGCTCTGCCAAATCTGCCACAGTTCCCCTGGCAGTCAGTGCCGACATCATCTCCTCTGTGATGGGCTGGCGCCGGCCAGTCCTCAGCCAGCAGGAGCCCTTCGGCGTGCGCCCCCGCAGGGCCCCTCTGAGCTTGCGCTGCTGCTCGGGAGTCGAGCGCTGATGCCGCTTGACAGATGTCCAACCGCGCCTGTTGCAGAGCCGGAGCAGTTTTATTTAGGCGAGCGCAGCTCCCTGACCGGTGATTTGTTTGTTCACGGTTCCAGATGCGATCATGATGCGCCCAGCGGTTGTGCCCCAGGATAGGCCGTGATTGCCGTGCGCCCCGATCCCCTCCCCCCCTCGTGCGATCTTTGCTTTTCGTATCTTGGCGGTCATTGGGGGCGGTGTGGAGGGGCCCATTCAGTGCATTGTTCGCGCGTAGCTGTTTGCTTTTTTTAATGCTCTCAGAATTGCACTGCCACCCGTGACCATTCGCGCGGACAGTGAGTTTGTTCATTCAGGAGTCACCGAGCTCGGGCGTGAGGCACGTTGTTTTCAGAATGCCGCTCACGCCGATGTTTGGGGGCTTCTCTGGGAGAAGCTTGAAGACTTGGGTGGGGCGGGGTCTCACTCGGCCACTCTTCGTCAATATTGAGGCCCACCCCGCCCCGGTGGAGCGGTTGCCCATCTTGCCCCGCCTCGTCGTTGGCAATAGGTTTGCTCGCGAATGGGCAAAGGGGATTTTTCACCAGGGGGCGCGCGGATGCCGCGCATCGCGGTAGGTTTGAGATGGTCTCTCAGCTCGCGCGCGCCGCGGGAGGGCAGGTCGGCAGGGCCGCCCCACCCGCGGCGCACGACGCCACGCGCCTGTCCGGCTCCGACGTCGAGGCCGCGCGGGCGGCCAGGCGGCAGGCCAAGGGGCTTGCTGCCGCCGCGGCCGCAGCTGCTGCCGCCCTCGCCCCGCCCGTTTGCGCCCCCCCCCCCCCCCTCTCGCCGTGTCGTTGCGCGGGGGGGGCACCGTCTCAGGAGATGGGTCGGCGAGGTTGTCGGTGACAGTGCCAATGGCATTGTCTGTTTGAGTTGTGGTGCTTCGACCACTTGCATGCGCGCAAACTTGGTAAGTCCTGCGGGCGCCCGACTGTGGGGCCGCCGTGTTTTGTCAGGCTTGGATCGTGCGCGCGTTTTCTTTCGGGGCCGCTGGATCCCCGTCGTCTTGCGGGCCTTTGATCCTTCGGAGAGCCCAGATCCCGCGTAGTGCACAGCGGCAGGGGGCAGGCTCACTGACCCCCCGTCGTCGTCAACCTGCGTCGCAGGAGGAGGAGGAGGAGGGGGAGGAGGAGGAGGAGGAGGAGAAGCGAGGAGGAGGACCGAGGACGAGGAGCGAGGAGGAGGAGGTGGGAGTTGGGCAGTTACCAGTTACGCATGAACGTGCGTATCATGAAAAGATGTATTGCGTGCGCTGTACACAGTCAACGTATACTGAAGGGCCTGATCAAGCCCCTGTGCGACATAGATTGGAACATCACGTTAGAAGAGCACGCATCTGAGCTGGACAGGCAAGCCCTCGATGGGACATGTGCTGTTACCTTTAAGATCGTTCGCATGTTGTCTAGAGGAGGAGTTCGCGGAAACACTGATGTTAAGTTAGACTCGGGTGTCTTGTCTGCCCCCGTGGATGATCGTGATCTAGCTTGGCTACAACACTACAGTAGAGTATTTCAGGCTGAGGTCAAGAACTTGAGCGAGATAGTTATCCCGTGTTCTGGCAGGCCCCCAGCTTCCCTGGCCCTCAACATGTCCCCTGAGGCCACCTACGAGGCAATCCAGAGGCTCGCGAAGGATAAGGGCGTCGGGTGCGACGGGGTCCTCGCGGAACTCCTGCAGGCTGGAGAGTGGCCCTTGGCGCTCCACGTGAATGAGATCGAGAACACCATTGTGAATGCCATGAGTTGGCCAAGACAATGGACGGGCGGAAAGATGGCATCCTTGTTCAAAGGGAAAGGTGATAATCAGGAACGTAATGATTACCTCTGTATTTTACTTGCAGACCACTCGGGTAAGTCGTTCGTATGTCGCATGAAGAGAAGCATCGATCCTGTATATAATGAGAAGATGCCGGCGACGCAATTTGGCGCCGTTCCTAGACGCGGGACCGACTACGCCTCGCACGTAGTACAGAGCATGATAGCATATGCGGAGAAGAGAGGGCGGTCGGTTTGCATTCTGTTCGCCGACTTAGTCAAAGCGTTCGACAGAGTCCTGAGAGAGTTGGTGTTTGGATTCCCTGTACATATAGCACCTGAGCACGCCGCCCGCCTTGCGCATCTCGAATCGCTAGGGCTGAGCAGTACAGTTGCACAGCAGATTCTGATGCAGATCGAAGAAAAAAAGGCCCCCTCCTAGAGCAGTGGCAAGTAGATCCCAGCGTGACTGAACGATCGTGTTCTCTGCACTCGAGCTCCTGGTTTAGCATCGGTTCGCTTGAGGGCGTCGTTTGTCCATGGTTGGTGTGGGGGGGGGGGGGGGGGGGGGGGGGCTCCAGGGGTGTAAAGTAGGAGCCATGATATTTAATGATGTCTACTCTATCGCTCTGCATGCTATGCAATCCCGTCTGAGAGAAGAAGGCCTCGCTTTGAACTTGGAGGCTCCTGTCCAGGAGTTTTGGTCTGATCGCCTTGAGGTGTGCGACCGAGTTTGCAGCATTACCGACTGTGCCTTTGATGAGTGTATCATGCT